TATATAAAACAATAAAATATCACATTTTCCCTTCTCTGATAGGATGGTAGGTATCATAAAATCTGAAAATGCAAAAAGTGGAACTTTTGAAAAGGTATAGAAAAAAAATCAGTACAATTTAGTCATTAAGTAGCCTATGTTCAGATCTTAACGGGAGACTGAGTAAGAACTTTCCAAGATTAAATTTTCCTTATGGGAGATAAGAACCCAGTGTTGCTTTTGACTCTAGCAATAAGTAGGTATGCAGCTTGGAGTTATCAGTTCACCTCTTTGAGCCTCAATTTCACCTTCTTTAACCCGTAGTCAGTCCATAGATTCCCAAGATAGGCCAAAGATGGAAATGGGGTGGGGATGACCATAAATCCCTTGAAATTTTATGCACAATTCTGGGTATCAACTTACTCTATTTTCTAAGGACAGAGTTCTTAGCTTTCATTATATTCTCAAAGAGGTTAGTAAATTCCAAAGTGATTAAAAACATTTAGATTAACTTATTTCTCATCTCTCATATGACTATATAAATATATTTTAAACTATGGAATTGGAGATCCATTATTGGTTTGAATTTTGTAACAAACTGAGACCATAATGACCTTTTCCTGTTCTTTGTTTCAGGATCTAAATCTAATAAGGTTAAGCCTAATTATAATTCTAGGCATGTTATAATCAAGAACTTAACACTGCTATTTCTTAGCAGAAGAAAGGTCAATGTAAAGGGTGAGGCTACTGTATTTGATAAGTGACACTAACTTTTCATTTCAAGTTCTACATGATTGAGATTTAAATGACAGAAAAAAGTCACAAGGAAAAGGGCAAAATTCCATTCCATGAAAACTGTAACACCCTGAAAGCTATATCATTTAAAAAAAAAAAATCAGCCTGCAGTTCACTTATTTCAAGCAGTGTTACAAAACTACTGACCAACAAAAGGAACTGGGATTATAGGGCAACCCCTGGCCTCCAGTTCAACTTCCATTTCCTTACTTTAAATCTCTACCTCCAAGTGCCTGCTTGGTTATTTGCCAACTCAAAATCAAAAGATTCAACAATGCTTATCACCATCTTCCTGAAAAGGGGACCTATCTCTGTAGTTCATTATCTCTGTAATGGTACTGTTCTAGTTATGCTAGCTCAAACTGCAAAACTTTTGAATTTGAAAGAGACATCCAATATCCATCAAGCCTACAAAAAATTCAAGTAAGAAAAATGATTAAGAACCAGAAAATAACTATAGACTCTCCATTTAGAATCAACTATTTTAAGAACCCAAGGAAAAATACTTACGTTTCAATATAAAAAATTTGCAAGGAATAAAGACAGATGAGGAAGACTACAGAATAGGACCTAAAAAAGACGACACATGGACACAGGGAGGGGAGTATCACACACTGGGGTCTGTTGGCGGTGGGGGGGGGGCTAAGGGAGGGACAGTGGTGGGGTGGGGAGGTTGGGGAGGGATAATGTGGGGAGAAATGCCAGATGTAGGTGACGGGGAGGCAGCAAACCACATTGCCATGTGTGTACCTACGCAACAATCCTGCCTATCTGCACACATACTCCAGAACCTAAAGTACAATTAAAACAAAAAGATGACATTTATGAGAAAATTAAAAATTTAAACACTTACTGGATATTTGATGTCAAGGGAGAATATTTAAAGATAACCTTTATAGATAAAATAAAATGATGCCTGAGACTTGTTTCAAAACAATAGAGTGGAGAGGGTGCACAGGGTACAGTTCAAGCAAGTTTGGTCAGAAATTCAGAATGGCTGAAACTGAGCAATGAGTAAATAGAGGTTTTCTTAAAAAGTAAAAATAATTTATGAAATTCTTATAAGAAAAATAATTGTGCATACCCTGCCACCCTCAGCAGTGAAGCCATATACAATTGGGGTCTTAAAAAGGAAGGGTGGGTTGGTGGTACTCACATTGTCATTCAAAACACACGGGAACTTTATGACCACTTAGTCAACAGAGTACCAAAATGAATTTGTTTGGTCAGTGACTTTTTTTTTTGAGATGGAGTTTCTCTCGTTACCCAGGCTGGAGTGCAATGGTGCGATCTTGGCTCACCACAACCTCCGCCTCCTGGGTTCAGGCAATTCTCCTGCCTCAGCATCCCGAGTACCTGGGATTACAGGCGTGCACCACCATGCCCAGCTAATTTTTTGTATTTTTAGTAGAGACGGGGTTTCACTATGTTGACCAGGGTGGTCTCAATCTCTTGACTTCGTGATCCACCAGCCTCGGCCTCCCAAAGTGCTGGGATTACGGGCTTGAGCCACCCCACCTGGCTTGGTCAGTGACTTTCTATTACACCAAATTTGCATTTGTTTCTCAGCTAGTGCCAATAGGACAGAGTGTATTTTAGAAAAACTTTCAAGTAAAAAGTTAGTAAAACCAATTTGTAATAAATGCTGCCTATGACAAAAATTAGCTATAGGACTATACAAACTTTGGTTTTAAAATGAGCAAGGCAAACAGCAAAAGGGTCAAACATGTAGGATTTTTATGGGGCAAAAATTACTATCAAGCGTTTCAAATTACATCATTTCAAGTGGGTAATCTGATGAGCTTTTGCATTTGCAAAAGTAATCTTATTCCAATTATCCATATCCACAGTTCAAGAAGCAGACAGACCACCTGGACACAGGTAGTGACCAGAATGAATTTTTTTGTGCAATTAAAAGTGGTATGTAGGGGACAGAGAACCACACTTCCCTGGTTAAGTTCTTTCTAAATAAAAATATGATAAATTTGCTTGCTGATCATGAAATCTGTATTGGACAAACATTAGCTTGATTTAACTATCTTCAGGAGAAAGACTATGGTCACCAAAAATAGCCTGTGTGCTTCAGTCACCTGAATAATTCAAATACTCAACTTATCAACAGAGTAAGCTATATATTTCTTTTCTCTAGAAACTCAGCATTTCTTCCATTATAGATTACTACCTCCTAGAAAATTCTAGAGATCACTGAATTTTCTGCCATGTGTATTTTGGTATGGGTATCTTTTTAAAACTAGCCATTCTTTGTTACTAAGGCTAAAATTTCATATTAATGTACTTAAAAAGTGAAGAGATACTTGAAAATTTTTATATCAAATATAACCTATCTTTTCTTCAGGTCAATGTAACATGACAAGATTAATCTATAGTAATTAATCAAACTATAGAGTAAGACTGATCTTTGAAAATACTTAATAGAACTTTGTAAATCCTCAATATACTTGAAAAGTTTGATTTTGTATATTTGACTGCCAAAGCTTTAACTTTAGTGTTAAGACCTAAAAATTCACCTTGAGGAATCAACTTTCTGAAAATTTTGGTTTGTATATTTAAGAGTTAAGGCTTATATTAATAGATAAAATTAATAGAATAGGAACTTAGAATATGTAAAAAATTCCAAAACTGATTTCTAAAATTCCTAAATTTCTAATGAATGGCAAACACAGAATTTCATCTATGACCAACTGAGGCAACAGAAGACTTAATACTGTGTACCTACTTCCTAAAGTTTACTCTAAATAGAGTTCCTAAGTATGTATACTACAAGGATCCTTTAGGAACTGGTTTCCTTCAGTAAGGATCATCTCCCTTAACATCTGATGTTCAATTAGCTTAGAGCAGTGAGACACAATTAAATTCCAGATTTAAATCGCTATCATGATATTTGTTAGTAAATTACCAAATCTTCTAAGCCGGTTATCCTCATCTACAAAGTGAGGATAAAATGTACAACTAGAGTTTTTGTGAGAATTAAATGACCATGCATCGTTGTCAGGTACGCAGCATTCAAAACTTGCTCACATTTATATTCTTAGTATTCTGTCTGGGCAGGATTTTATTCTTATATTTTCCCTAACTAGTATTTTACTCTTTGATACATTATTTTCAGAAGCGACCTCAAATCCTTTGTTGATATAAACAAATAAACTCCAAGAAGAACAAACCCATTTTAGTTTTGTTCCAGAGTTCACAGTATAAGGAAAGGAGAGACATGCAAGTAAGGGGAAGAAAATGAAGAGAGAGAAAACATTTCCATGAAGAAAGCATTTGAAATAATTCCACATAGGAAATAGATCCTGAAAAGTTATTTTCATAGTGGTTTAATAGGTGTCACAAAAAGGTATTTTGTGGCAATGTCATTCTTCCTCAAAAATTGAATACCTTCATTTGCCAATTTCATAAAACAGCATTCTGGAGGTCAATCTTTTCAAAGTGATTTAAAAATAAGTAAACCATTTGTAAAAAGAATTAAACTTGAAACAGACCTCATCCACTGTAAATTTTAGGCATTACTATTCCTGAGTGTCAACTATACAAATCAAATGATTAAACACTTCCCTCCCAATTTAGTCAAGATATCTACAGTAAGTCATGTGTAAATGACAACTGTTCCCAAAAGACTTATGAATAGAAAGCTTTCAGAATAGAAAATGAATAAACATCTCAACAAGTAAAATTACTCTTTTCAGCATTAAAAAATAATTTGTGAAAAATGTAGTGAGTGTAATTATGAAGTGTTATACTCATCTCAACTCTATTTCTAAAGTAACATGACATCATTTTAACTAAGAGAAATGCTGGTTTTCCAAAGAGCAGGTTACCTTTACCCGAGGTTTCAAAAATAAATATCAGCATCATGACAGCACTAGAAAGAAATTGAAGCATACAAGGAATAAACTATAGTTTCTTTTTATATCAAAATGTACTCTTGAAAATGTGTTTGGCACAGTGCTAAATCATATATAGTTAATACTAAATATTGCAGGATACAATAAAACCCTGGAGTTAATTGTTTACACCCTCTTATGGGAATGAAAATAATCGATACCAATTATTCAGAAGTCAGCCTATACAAACTGTATAAACAATATTTTATGTTTTGCTTTGAAAACCAGTGATATAATAAATTTTACATAAAAGACTGCAAAATAATATAAATGGATTTAAACAGATTTTTACAATAAGAAATTCAAATGGAAACAGACAAGTAACAAAGAGAAGTAAAAAAATTTATTGCAGTATTTGCTCCACCAGATTACCTGGGGATCCCTTTTCTTGTATTGTTTTCAGGGTGACCTAATACATCAAAATCTACATTTACAAAAACTCCTTCTGCAGATAGGTCACAGATACTGCATGCTTTTTTTTTTTTTTTTCAACAGAATAAATTATATATCCAGGAGATTCTGCCATTTTACAGCCTGGAAAAAACAATGCTTCCCTGGAAACTGGGCTAAGCTAAAGAAAGCCATCCGCTGCTAGGTTAAACTCCAAGAACACTTTATTAAGAACATTAACAGACTAATTTCCAACATTCACTTGTTTATTTTTTTTAAACAGAAAGTTTTTTTTCCAAGATATAAACAATTTTGTTAAACTATAATACAGTGGGAGTAAAAATGAACTGAGAATCTGTTTCTGCTGCACAACAGCGAAGGGAGCTCCCACAAAAATGTTTGCCCAACATTTCCTTCTTTCGTTCCTGCATCCCAGGTTCCACTTACTCTTCATAAAACTGATTTTTTTTTTTTGCCAGAATGTTGATATTTCAAGTTTTTCTGCCTTTTAAAAAAATTCCTGTAAATTTGGCTGCATGTACAAATTCATTAGCTGGAAGTCCCATCCTTGGCGGCATACAGGGATCGTAAAGTCTGAACAACTTTATTAGTCAGCTTATTAGCACTCGTTAGAGCAATTTTTTTGTAAATAATGTCTGACTCTTTAATAGTGTCTACCCAAGGCACCAGTTTGCGGCCATCACGGCGCTTAGCCTCAGTCCAGGAGCCACTGTAGGAGCCTGCCATCCACTGAACACTGAAGCCATTGCTGGTTTTCTGTACTACTCTTGCAATTTGTGGTCGATCTTTGTACTTTGGACAGCAAATAGCGATGACATCCATGACGTCAACACTTTCATTCATCTGTGCTGCCAACTCCGTAGAGTCTGAATTTCGTTTTGACCTTCTCAATGACTAAAACATTGGGAGGGGGAAAAAAGACCAAGTGTTACACAGAAGAATTTTAGTGAAATTATTGTTTTTATTGCTTTTAATCCCTTGACGCCGGGAGTTGGGATTTCCCGGCACACTTCCATTGCCGGCAATGAGACGCACCGTGACCGCCAGCGCCAAGGGGTTAACATATACTTGTAAAACCATATAACTCTTAATTTGTACCCGTGTCTTTACTCTTATTGATATATAAAATTATATATACATATGAACCATAAAGCTACATAAAACTTAGCAACAATAAAAATAACACACATTAATACAATTCAAAGAAAAATTAATAACCCTTTATGCTGGATAAATCTCATTTCTGTTTTTTTATTGTCTTTTATGTTATACTTTCTACAAAAGGATGTATAAATGGGTAAGTAGAGAATCTCTATCTACAAAATGTTTTCTCTTTTAAGTATTACATTACTTGGTGTACATTTAATAGACTGACATATATAAGCACATAAAAATCATTTTACGTAATACGCTGCGAAATACGTTGACTCCTCCTCCGCCTCACCCCTGAAGTGCCTCCTCCTCTATCCTCCCCATCACTTTCATCATCTTCTGTCTCTGCTGCTGTATTGTTTTTAGGGCTGCCTCCTCCAAGCAGTGAGGTAATTGCTTTGTTCCGAGCATTTGTGCTAGCTGACACCTCCCCTTCTTCCTCTTCTTCATCAGGGTCCAGATGTTCCATGAGAAGTTTAAACTACAAAAAATAGATATTTATTTCAGAATTTTAAGTAAATATTTCAAGCAAGATTGTTAAATTCCTAAATGTTTTCTATGGCAGTAGTTTGGTGTGGGTGAAACAGATGTTAGCCATCATCTAAGTCAGGGGTTGGTAAACATTTTCTGGAAACAGCCAGATGGTAAATATTTTTCATTTGAAGGCCATATAGTCTGTCACAACTACCCAACTCTGCCACTGTAGTACAAAAGCAGCTACAGACAAATAAATGAATGGGCATGACTGTTTTCAGTAGAAACATTGTCTTATTTACAAAAACAGGCAAAGGGTTAGATATAAAAACAGCCAGAGTTTGCAGACCCTTGGTCCAAGTCATCAAGTAACCAGGTAATAATTAATGATAGACATTTTCTACTAACCCTAACCCTCTTTACTCTGCTAAAGATAAGAGGATTCACGAGGAAGCAAAGAATGTTAAAAAATTTTAAATGTTAACTAAAATATTTTTAAATTTTAGAGTGTCAGGTTTGCAAAGTCAATGAATAATATGAAAGCCACTGTAGAGATTATATTCTTAGTTCAAAACCTTATTTTTATGTTCAGCTACTTGCTTTAAAGTAGTTTTTTTTTTTGTTTTTTGTTTTTTAGATGGAGTTTCACTGTTGTTACCCAGATTGGAGTGCAATGGTACGATCTCGGCTCACCGCAACCTCCGCCTCCTGGGTTCAAGCAATTCTCCTCCCTCAGCCTCCCGAGTAGCTGGGACTACAGGCGTGCGCCAGCATGCCCAGCTAATTTTTGTATTTTTAGTAGAGACGGTTTCACCTTGTTGACCAGGATGGTCTCGATCTCTTGACATCATGATCCACCCGCCTCGGCCTCCCAAAGTGCTGGGATTATAGGCGTGAGCCACCGTGCTCGGCCTAGTTTTTTTTTTTTTTTAAAGAAAAATAGAAACAGAGTTTTGCCAATTTGGCCAAACTGGTCTCAAACCTCTGGTGTCAAGTGATCTCCCCACCTCAGTCTCCCAAAGTGCTGGGATTACAGGCCTGAGCCACCACACCTGGACTAAGTAGATTGGTGGCATGTGCCATGTGCCTGTAGTCCCAGGAGGATGAGGCAGGAGAATTGCCTGAACCCAGGAGGCAGAGGTTGCGGTGAGCCAAGATCGCGCCATTGCACTCCAGCCTGGGTAACAAGAGCGAAACTCCGTCTCAAAAAACAAACAAACAAAATATAAAACTTTATTTTTTAGGATAGTCCTCCAGTTTGAAAAATATTTTAAAAAACTTTTTTAATGTGGTAAAATATAAATAACAAAATTTGCCAGCTTAATCTTTTTTTTTTCTTTTTAAATTGAGACAGGGTCTCACTGTCACCTAGGCTGAAGTGCAGTGGCACAATCAAGGCTCACTGTAGCCTCCACCTCCCAGGCTTAGGTGGTCCTCCCACCTCAGCCCCCCTAGTAGCTGGGACTACAGGTGTGCACCACTGTGTCTGGCTAATTTTTGTATGTTTTGTAGAGATGGGGTCTTGCCCTTGTGCTCAGGCTGGCCTGGACCTCCTGGACTCGGGTAATCCTCCTATCTAGGCCTCCCAAAGTGCTAAGATTACAGGTGTAAGCCACAATACCCAGCCTACCAGTTTAACCATTTTAAATGTATAATTCATTGGCATGTTGTACAACTATTACCACTATCCATTTCCAGAGCTGTTTCTTTTGTTTTTTTTTAATCACTGCAAACCGCAACTCCATGCTCATTAAACAATTCCCCATTCATTGGTAACCTCTATTCTATTCTCTGTCTCTAATTTAAAAGAACATTTTACATACACACACTGACATACTTGTTAAGTGAGAATATATACAAATATATATTGGCATTACTCATGTAAGACTAAATGGGCCAGGCGCGGTGGCTCAAGCCTGTTGTAATCCCAGCACTTTGGGAGGCCGAGGCGGGTGGATCACGAGGTCAAGAGATCAAGACCATCCTGGTCAACATGGTGAAACCCCGTCTCTAGTAAAAATACAAAAAATTAGCTGGACATAGTGGCGCGTGCCTGTAATCCCAGCTACTCAGGAGGCTCAGGCGGGAGAATTGCTTGAATCCAGGAGGCAGAGGTTGCGGTGAGCCGAGATTGCACCATTGCACTCCAGCCTGGATAACAAGAACGAAACTCCGTCTCAAACAAAAAAAAGAATACATGAAAAATTAATAATATTGGTTGTCAGAAAAGGAACAGAATGGCCAAACAGGGTAAGAGGATGACTGCTTGCAGTTTTACCTCTTATGAAATACAAGGTGGATCAAAAAATATTTGGAAAATGTCAGCATAAAAAATAACATTACAATAAAAAATAATACAACTTTAAAAACAATGTAGTAGAACAAATGTGTACATAGCATTTACACTATATTAAGTATTATAACTAAGCTAGATATGATTTAAAGTATACGGAAGGATGTACGTAGGTTACATGGAAATACTATGCTTTAATTTTTTTGAGACAGGGTTTCACTCCCGTCACCCAGCATAGGCTGTAGTGGTGCTATCACGGGTCACTGTAACCTACGCCTCCTAGGCTCAAGCGCTTCTCCTACCTCAGCCTCCTGAGTAGCTGGAACTACAGGTGCATGCCACTGCCTCCTGCTAATTTTTGTATTTTTTGTAGATATGGGGATTTGCCATGTTGCCCAGGCTGATCTCAAACTCCTGAGCTGAAGTGATCCACCTGCCATGGCCTCCCAAAGTGCTGGGATGACAGGCATGAGCTACCACGCCTGGCCTACTATGCCATTTTTTATTAGGCCCTTGAATATCAGAGGATCTGGGTATCCCTGAGGGGACCTGGAACTAATTTCCCATGGATACCAGGGGACAACTACAGAACACACATACAGGTTTTCCTATAACCTTTCATTTTTACTAAAATAAAATTATTCATGGGTTACTGTTTCCTAAGAAAAAATAATTAGGATGCCATGGGTCCAATGGGAAAGACAAAGTAACTCATTAAAACCACATAGAGAACAATTATCTCGGTATTTCATGAAGCTCACATTCAATGTAAAAGAGATAGTTATCTCCCCACCGGCCCCCCAAATTTACTTTTCAAAAAAGTCCTTATGAGAAGTAAAAGCTTTTGGTTTTACTACTCACATCTAGATACTGTTTTACTATACTCCTCTTCACCTCTTCAGTGATTTTGGAATTAGCCATGTCACTCCGCAGGAAGTCCAGTGTTTGTTTTGGATGAAAATGAACTCCTGTTTTTCGGTTTATCGCTTTATCATATACTTTTGCAGATTCAGATGGAGAGTACTTCTGAATTTTACTGTTTTGGGAAAACAAAACAAAGAACTTTAAAACTATGGAAGCAACATATTTGAGGAAATCCAATTATAGGCAGGAAGCATCATATTAACAAAATTACTTTCTCATGTCTATTTTTAATACTATTGTGATCCTAGGATAGTTTCAATATAATTCCTTAATACCACCTAACTGGTTTACTTCTTTCTACTAGTTGCCCCCACCCCCATCCCACCTATCCATTCTCTATATAGTGGCCAGAATGATTGTTTATAAACCTGTTTCAGGTTATTAACAACTCTACTTAAAAATCTTTGCAACTCCTTAGCATTGCCTCAAAACCTTACACGGTTTTAAATTATTTTGTATGTTGCCAACATTTAACATTAGATATTGCTTATAAGGCCAGGAGCAGTGGCCCTTGCCTATAATCTCAGAGTTTTGGGAGGCCAGGGTGGGAGGATCACTTGAGGCCAGGAGTTTAAGACTACCCTGGGCAACACAGCTAGACATCATTTCTACAAGTAAAAAATTTAAAGAATTAGCTGGGTGTGGTGGCATGCATATGTACTCCCAGCTACTCAGGCGGCTGAAGTGGGAGGATTACTTGAGCCCAGGAGTTTATAATTGCATCACTGCACTTCAGCCTCGGCATCTGAGTGAGACACTGTCTTAATCAAATACAGAGATATTGCTCTTAAAAATCTGGATTTCTAGTGTCTCCTGAAAAAAGTGGGAGCTCTGGCCACATCATGCCCACCCTCTCCTTTGGCAACAAGCTTATGGAAACTTGAGACAGATCCACTTAAATGACCTCTTTATATGAAACACACTCTTTCCAGTTCGCCACTGACAAGATGGCCTGTAACATTTCACTTTGTGATTCCTAATCTTAGATTTCAATGAAGGTAAAAAATGACCAAAATTCCATGGGTATAGGGAGAAAAGAAATAACTTTAATGATTAATGGTGGGTAAAACTACAGGGTGTTTATAATAGTTGTACCTTTTCTCTCTCTTATTTTATAGAGTACCTGAAAGATTATTTGAGTTCTGTTGGAGCTCAGTTTAGTTGGTTTATATCTGTTACTACAGAGCTCTTTAAAAACTTAAACTTGTAATCTATTTTAAAGTTAGCCTGATTCTTTTTAAGGAAATCAACAAAATAAGTCCTTTAAATTTGTAATGCATTATCACCAAGTAAAGGAATATGTTTTTTTCCCTTTAATGAAAGGATAAATTATGGCATGTTACACAACAGAATACTATACAGCAAGAGAACAAACTCCTTTTTAAAAAAGAAACATTTCTAACATTAAAATAAGCATGCAAACAAAACTGAGTTTCATATTTATTATTATTATTATTTTTAGACAGAGTCTTGCTCTGTTGCCCAGGGTGGAGTACACAGTGGCATAATCTCAACTCACTGTAATCTCCACTTCTCAGGTTTCAAGCGATTCTCCTGCCTCAGCCTCAGCCTCCCAAGTGGCTAGGATCACAGGTGTGCACCGCCACGCCCAGCTAATTTTCATATTTTTAGTAGAGATGGGGTTTCATCATGTTGGCCAGGCTGGTCTCAAACTCCCAACCTCAAGTGATCTGCCCACCTCCACCTCCCAAAGTGCTGGGATTACAGGCGTGAGCCACCATGCCTGGCCCATATTTATCATTTGGAGAGAGTAAAGTTTTTTCTCTCACTGCTTATGTAACCTTACCTATCAGAAAATCCACAAAGATTCTTCAAATGTTGTTTTAACATTAGAAGCAATAAAATACCCTGGGACACATTTGCAAATTCAATTAAAGGAGCTGAATTTTCTGGCAAACATTTCATCACTGAATTTATATCGTCTTCTGAATCTGAATCTGAATCTGAATCTACACGTTTCCGTGACTTCCGAGGCCTGGAAACTTCTTCTTCACTCTCGCTTGACTCATTTTCCTTACTAGGTGATGATTTTCTCTCTTTCCTTTTGTCCTTTACCATAGACTGAAAGAAAAAATTGTTTGATAAACAAAAAAGCCAAAATGCCACTAATAAATATAAGTATACTCCATTAAATAGCTTGAAAAAGCTTCCTTAAACTAATATTTTATAAATCTCTTGACTTTATATCAACAAATGGCGATGTAATCCTTAGGGGATAATTAGCTTCTAAAACTAAATAAAATTATATATAATATCTACCCCTCCCCCACAACCACTCCTTCCAAAAAAAATCCTTGTGAAATATCATTCAAGGGAAACAATTTTCTTCTAAACATAGCAATAAAAGACAGTTATAAAAGTATCAATTTGGTGCACAGGTAAGCCATTATAGAGGAAAAGTAGCAATTATAATTGAACTGAGGAAAATAAAGTAATCTTGAACATTCCCAGCTTCTATCAAACTCTCCTTTTCAAGAACATTTCAGCAAGATAGTAAACAACTTTCTCTGAAGACTTAAATCCTGTTTCTTTGTACTTTATGAAAATGCTTGCTCTTAGAAACAAAGTTAACTGAATTTAAGCCGGTTGAGAGGTGTGCGTGTGGCGGGGAGGAGCACATTATAATAACATTTATTCAAAACTGGAAGAAACATTTAAAAGGACAGCCATACCAGTAAGTAGGTAAAATAAGAGAAGCTGAGGGCTGAAGCTCCTGGGAAATAATTAACTTCTCAAACTTAAATGTGCATATTAACATTTGTGGCTTTTGTTAAAGATGCAGATTCTGTTTCAGCAGATCTGGGTGGGGTCTGAAGTTCTGCAGCTTTAATAGCTCTTAGGTGAAACCACTGCTGCTGGTGTGTGATCTACACTTCAAATAGTAAGGGTTTAGACACTTCTGCAATTCTAGCCCTTTGGAAGCATCTAAAATAATCGGTCTGATTTACTAGCCTGACAAGGCTGAGTTTTGAGCAATACAAATGTATAAAATGACATCTATTTGAATGATTAGGTACATGAGAATATTCTATTCAATTTGTAAAGAATTTACTGAGTGATTACTAGGTGCCTAGTGCTAGAGCAGGTACTTCTGTAATTAAATAAATTCCATTTCTCCTAAAGTCACGACAGAAGATTCAACAAAAAATTTTGGGCACAAGATTCCAACTCTATTACGGTGCTGTAGTTAAGCAATAAAAAAGTCAATGGTGCCATAAATTTTCTGTCTATAAATAAGCTATATGTTTTCATGTGTAATGCTGTGATTACAGCATTCAAGATTTACAGAATAATGTTTTAAAATGGGGTTTAAATGAATATATGAATGGATGCAAAACACTTAAGGTCAGTCCTTGAAAAGTGAGAGAAATAAATGGGATGGCTTATCAACAGAGCAATCCATATATGTATTTTAGATCTTTCTAAATAGAAGTGGCAATGTACTTCCTCTCCCAATTCAAGCTAATTTAAGTACTGCCCAGATTTCATTAAGTTCACTTAGAAAGATTTTATATACTTGTGAAAAGAATAATAAGAAACAAAACAGTGAAAACAGCATGCCTGCACTTTGATAGATGCATTAAGAATAGTAATGTGTGTAACTTACCTCCTTGAATGACTGCAGTAGGTTACTACCAGAAACTGAGAGTGTAATGTCTATATGATGCATAATAAACAACGGCTCTTCCTGTGTCTGGTATGGAAAACAGGCTAGATTGTCTGCTATATACAAGAGCATAGTCACTTCTGTTTTCTGTAAATTTTAAGGAAAAGCACACATGTTTAGCAGATAATCTAGAAACACATCCAAAAAAGCTTTTTTAGAAAAAATACAGGGCACTTTTACCTCAGTTAATGTTGGACAGAGACAGGCAGACACACACACACACACACACACACACACACACACACACACACACACACAAGGAGAGAGTGAGGAGAGACACAGAGAGAGAGAGAGAGAGGAGGAGGGAGAGAAATGGGAGGGACAGAGAGGGGGAAAAAGGGAGAGGAAGAGCGGTATAAGAAAAGTGAGAAGGGGAAACAGAAATGGATTTTATAAAATAAACTTATGCCCATTTTAAATTTTATAATGACTTACACTATGCTACCTCAAGAGGAGGTGAAATTTTTTATTACATCCATGTGAAATTCCTTGAAGTTTTCTTAGAGTATATGAAATCTTTATGATAAAACCATACCATATCAGAAAGTATACATGGAAGTTCTAATTATATCACTGTGCTACTAAGAGTTTAACCCATATGGAGATCAGTTATGCAGTTACTATTGTGTCCTCAAAAGAACTAGTAATTATAGTACTAATACATAGTTTAAAAGAATAAAACAAAATCCATGTACTCATAAACATTTGTCAGTATCCTGAGTATATGTAACTAAGAATGTCAGAGTTGTTTTGACAGTGCTACCAGTTTTACACTATAAAAACTCTGAGGTAGGTGAAATTTAAGAGAAAAATTATGGTTATTAGTTGTTTGCTTTAAAAAGAAGCAACAGACTTCAAGCATTTCATGATCATACAGAATATAAACAGAAAGGCATGTTAATATTCAAATTTATTTTAAATATTTATAGCTCAAGGAAAAAAAGCTCACAACTAAAAAACACTCCCTCCTACCATGTACTGTCCCCTGCTGTGAAAACAACTAAAACCCAACAGCAGCAGCAGCAGCAAGATCCCACAATACAGATGTAATAACCTTGCTATTCATAAGAGTATCACTCTCACTCTATTTTTATAATATGTATCAACATCAACATGTTACAGATGAAAAAATGTGGACATAAACCCCTACCTCATCTATTAGTTTTAACACTATAATTTATATATATATTTTCAAAACTCTGAAATTTTTCAACATCCTTAAAAGCCCTGTATTGCTCTTTCCTTTTAAAATCAAAGTTGTTCAAAGAATAGTTTAGACTGCTCCTCCCATGTCTTTATATATATATATATATTTAAAGGAGAGAAGGTGTCTCCATGTTGCCCAGGCTGGAGTACAGTGGCATGGTATCACCACTCACTGCCACCTTGAACTCCTGGGCTCAAGCAATCCCTTTGCTTTGGTTTCTCGAGTAGCTAGGTAGTTAGGAGTACAGATGCATGCCACCAGGCTTAAGTTTTTATTTTTTAATTGTTGTAGAGATAGGGTCTCACTATGTTGCCCAGGCTGGTATGGAACTCCTGGGCTCAAGTGATCATCCGGCCTTGAGTGCTGGGATTAAAAGCATGAGTCATCTCACCTGACCCTCACTCTTTAATTACAATCTGCTTTTGCCCATTAAGTTCACCATTCTACTCTATTTTTCTCTTCTTAACTCTCCTTGACTTCTCAGTAGCATTTGACACTATTATCCACACATTCCTTCCTGAAATCTTCTTCCTTAGTTTTCTCTTCCTAGCTCTTTGCCTACTCCCCTTTTATGCACTCCTCAAACCAACTCCTTTGCAATCTGACTTTGGCGACAATCCTATTACTTGTTCAGCTGCTCAAAACAAAAATATTCCAGTTATGCACTGAGTATTCTTTTCACAAAGTCTCATTTAATTCTTTCCTCAAATTTCTCCTTTACTATCCATTCTTTTTTTTTTTTTACTGAGAGGGAGTTCACTCTGTTGCCCAGGCTGGAATGCAGTGGTGCGATCTCAGCTCACTGCCAATCTCTGCTGCCCAGGTTGAAGTGATTCTCATGCCTTAGCCTCCTGAGGTGTGTGACACCACGCCATGCTAATTTTTTTGCATTTTTAGTAGAGACAGGGTTTTGCCATGTTGGCCAGGCTGTTCTCGAACCCCTGGCTTCAGGTGATCTACCTGTCTAAGCCTTCCAAAGTGCTGAGATTACAGGTGTGAGCCACCATGCCCAGCCTCTACTATCCATTCTGTTTCTCCCCTACTGTTATCATAATAGATTAATCCCTTATTACCTCCAGTGTGAAAACAATGCTAAAAAAAGTTCATTTTCCTAAACTGCTCTTTGGCAGTTGTCCTCATTATTTTATTCAAACACTTCCAATTTTTTTTTTTTTTTTGCCATCAACAGGATCCTCTATATACTACTACTCATTACATACTTGTGGAAATAATAATAAGAAACAAAATAATCTTTCTGCCCCAAATAATCTATTCATTATTTCCCACACATTCTTATCTTTGTATTTTAAATTAAATTTTTGGCCCTGACTGAAACATTTTCCTTTCCTGTTTTATTTTATTTTATTTTATTATTTATTGAGATGGACTCTAGCTCTGTTGTCCAGGCTGGAGTGCACTGGCATGATCTCGGCTCACTGCAACCTCTGCCTCCTGTGTTCAAGCAATTCTCCTACTTCAGCTTTCTCAGTACCTGTGATTACAGGTGCCCGCCATCACGCCCAGCTAATTTTTTTGTATTTTTAGTAGAGACCAGGTTTCACCTCTTGGCCAGGCTGGTCTCAAACTCCTGACCTCGTGATCTGCCCTCTTTAGCCTCCCAAAGTGCTGGGATTATAAGCATGAGCCACCAAGGCTGGCCCCTTCCCTGCTTTATATAGCCCAGCCCTCTCATTCTATCCCTCTAGGCCTTCAGGGATTTTTTCCTTGTCTGACATTCTTTGTTGCAGGTAGTCAGAAAAAAGCATTACGTTGTGAGAGCTGGGTTTCCAATTTCGCATTTCAATTGCTGAGACAACAGAACATCTAGTCAATGACAGAGCAGGTGTGAAACTACATAGGAATGAAGCTCTTTTGGAGAGAGGCAAGGACTGGAGCAAAATCATCAATACAAACCATCAGGACACTCAGGATATACTAACCACAAACACTATTAATTTTGTGTCTGATGCCTACAATTGGAGGTAAAATCCTTTCAGGGCAAAAGCACTATGTCATATCATTTGGCACTTTTAGTATAGTGTCCTATACACAATGTAAACTTAATACTGATAATGGTATGATGATAACGTTGACGATAAATTTCATATAGTACCTGAAGAAGTCTAGTAAGATATCTACACTATGGTAATTATAATTTTGCTTTATGGCAAAAATCTGCTGTCAGGCTAACAAGTAATTAAAATATTTCTTTTGTTATTATTATTATTTTGACACAGAGTCTCACTCTGTCACCTAGGCTGGAGTGCAGTGGTGTGATCTCAACTCACTGCAACCTCTGCCTCCTGGGTTCAAACAATTCTCCTGCCTCAACCTCCTGAGTAGCTGGGATTACAGGTGTGTGCCACCACACCTGGCTAATTTTTTGTATTTTTGTAGAGAGGGGGTTTCACCATGTTGGGCAGGGTGGTCTCAAACTCCTGACCTTGTAATCCGGTCGCCTTGACTTCCCAAAGTGTTGGGATTATAGGAATGAGCCACTGCTCCCACCTCTTTTGTTGTTTTAAAAACTGCTATACACATAGACTCATGCGAGCTCTGTGTGGGCAGAAACCACAATTGTCTTTACTATTTTATGCTCATTAAACTTCTTAGCACAATGTCTGGTACATAGCAGATGCTGAATAAATATTGTATAAAATAAATAAATTAAAAGGTAAACTTAAAAAACAGAATATTCAGTTTTCTTGGCCTAGGGTCCTGACCAATGCAACTAGTGCAACAGTCAGAAGCGGCAAAATGGTAATTATGGTAATCCCCTCTTATTGCTGTTTTGCTTTCGATAGTTTCAGTTACCCTTGGTCCACCAAAGTCCAAAAATAGATGAGTAAAATACAAAAAGGTATTCTGAGGGACAGAGAAAAGCAAGATCTCATTCATGTAACTTTTATTACAGTATACTGTTATAATTGGTCTATTATTGTTGTTAATCTCTTACTGTGACTAACAGAGCAAAAAGATGCCATTCATGTAACTTATATTACAGTATACTGTTATAATTGCTCTATTTTATTATCTCTTACTGTAACTAATATATAAATTAAAACTTAAACATATATTTGTATGTATAGGAAAAAACAGTACAGCCATGTGCTATATAACCATGTTTTAATCAATGACAAACCAGATATATGATGATGGTCCCATAAGATTATCCTATCATATTTTTATTGTACCTTTTCTATGTTTAGATATGTTTAGATACACAAATACTTACCATTGTGTTACAGTAATATACAGTATTCAGTATAGTAACCTGCTGTACAGGTTTGTAGTCTAGGAACAATATAGCCTAGGTAGGCTACAACATCTAGGTTTGTGTAAGTAAGATGTTCACACAGCAATGAAATTGCCTAATTATGCTTTTCTCCAAATGTATCCCTGTCATTAAGTGATACCTGACTGTATATATAAGATATAGTACTATCCATGGTTTCATGCATCCATTGAGGGTCATGAAATGCATCTTTAAGTATAAGGAGGACTACTATACACAAAAGTGGGCTCTTCATTAAGAGAAGTCAAGTTGAACAACTCGGGATCTCAACAGCCAAAAACCTAGACCAGTTACTCTCTAACAATATTTGAGTCTTACTTATTTAGGTAATTGATTCCCAAAGTTATTAGTTTAGTGACGTAGTTTATTGAAAGATAAGCTTACAGGAACTGTTATTAAGGTTTATAGGATATTCAGTATGGAGGCACAATTATACATTATTCTTCATTACACTTATTCTCAAATAAAATTTCCCCTTTTTGACTGTGCACTTTGAAAATAAGAAGATTAAGAAAACGTTTAATGAAGTTACTATCATATACTATAAAATGGTAATATTTAAAAAATGGTGACTAGCCATAAAATTTCTAGAACATTTATTTTCTTAAAATAATAAGTTTTTGTGCTTACTGCTGTGTCATCAAAGAGGTTGAGTAAAGAAATAAGAAAGGCTCGTCTGTGTTGGCGGTTTCCACGGATCATGGAGTAAAGGTGTGAACATAAAGCGCTAGAGGACTCGTCTTGTCTGAAACCCCTTACGGGATCTTTTAGGCATGTGTTGATTGCCTGTTGTACCTGGTAAGACATCTTCATACCAGCCACTGCTTTCATCTGAAATCAATAAAAGTCTCATTTTTGTCAGGGAAATTAAAAGACACAAATTAAAGATATACTTAGAGCATTATGTTCTGAGGCTAGCTTCATTATTTGGTTTTCTTAATTAAAATAATATGAATCACAGAACAAAGTGCTAGAGGGAACACTAGAGATTTTCTCTTACAATCCCTCATTTCAAAGAAGAAGAAGGAAAAAAAATGAGGCCTAGAAGAGTCATTGTAGCCAGGTTCATATAGTAGGATGTAATATCTGGTTTCCTGATTTCTAGTCTATTGTGCTTGCTAAACTGTCACCTCTAGGACAATCTTAATTTAAAACTAGAATAAACTCCTTGGGAGATTAACTTAGTTGCATGTTTAGAAGGTAAGTACTAAGTAAGACGTTTTATCCCAATTATGAATGTTGCCAGGACATTTATCAAAGAAACACTTTACTCAATAAAAATGCTTAAATTTAGGTTGTAAAATGTTAAAATACGTACATGAATGAATCCGGCATATTTTTTGTCTATTTCCACAAGTTGCTGATCAGCCTTGTTCCGCATAGCAGGTTCTGGGTCTGTGCCCATAGCAATTAAATACGGCACACACTGGAAACAAAAATAAAAAATTGGTATCACAGTTGTAAAAACTCTCTCTGTATTTAAAAATGTCAAAACTTTTTACATATCTGAGATATATGATTTTAACCTTATAGGCTTTCCTATAAAGGCTGTGTTTTAGTTTCTTTTTCAAATGATAACTCTTTCTTGAGATTTCGCTTAAATCCAGAAAGCACTGCAGCACCAGCAAAAATACTAATGTGGTAAAATTTAAACAATTTCATTGTAAATTTAAGGTGCTTTAAAATAAAGTATTCTCACACTAAGAATATTTAAGATTATGATATAGACTACAACAAATATACAATGCAATAGTTTTTAAAGCTTGACTGAATTTGCCTTGTGAAGATAATATAGGACAAATAGTAATTTGTTTTCCATACTCAAAGCTAGGAAAATATAATTGCTTTTTAAAGTTGATTTCAGATGTGGCTTATAGGATCAGACAGTTGATAACAGACATATTCACTGTACTTCTAAAGTCAAAACAGCACTACTATGTTAAGTGAGTCTGAATCAAAAAGCAATGAGAAGGCCAGAAAAACAACAACAAACATAACGTAAATTTAAAATATAGACAGGGCTCTAAATGAAAGAGATAATCATGTTAAACCTTGAATCAGGAGAGAAAAAAGGCTATAGCATGGGTGTGGTGGCTTATGCCTGTAATTCCAGCACGTTGGGACACTGAGGCAAGGCGGATCACTTGAGCTCAGGAGTTCCAGACCTGCCTGGCCAACACAGTGAAATCCCATCTCTAAAAAAATTACAAAAATTAGCCAGGTGTGGTGACACACACTAGTAGTCTCAGCTACTTGGGAGGCTGAGGTGGGAAGATTGCTTGAGGCCAGGAGGCAGAGACTGCAGTGAGCTGAGACTGTGTTACTGCACTCCAGCCTGGCCAACAGAGCAAGATCCTGTCTCAAAAAAAGAAAAAAGGCTAAAGAGAATACTTTAGGTTAACTAGCAGAATCTGAAAATGAACTGTATATTAGATAATATTGTATCAATGTTAAACTTCCTAAATTTAATAATTATGGTTTTGTAAGAGAATGTCCTTTTTCTTAGAAAATATATGCTGAAGTGTTCAGTGGTAAAGAATCATAATAGGCCGGGCACGGTGGCTCAGGCCTGTAATCCCAGCACTTTGGGAGGCCGAGGCGGGTGGATCACGAGGTCAAGAGATCGCAACCATCCTGGTCAACATGGTGAAACTCCGTTTCTTCTAAAAATATTAAAAAAATTAGCTGGACATGGTGGCATGTGCCTGTAATCCCAGCTACTCAGGAGGCTGAGGCAGGAGAATTGCCTGAACCCAGGAGGCAGAGGTTGCGATGAGCCGAGATCACGCCATTGCACTCCAGCCTGGGTAACAAGAGCAAAACTCCGTCTCAAAAAAAAAAAAAAATCATAATTATCTGAAACTTCCTGCCAAATGATTCAGAAAAAAGTAGATGTATAAAGAAAGAGAGATAAAGCAATTGTGGCAAAATGTCAACAAATGGTGAATATAGATGAAGGGTATAAAGGACTTCATTGCATCACTTTTGCAATTTCTTTGTGTGAATTTTTTTTTTTTTTGAGATGGAGTCTCCCTCTGTCCGCCAGGCTGGAGTGCAATGGTCTGGTTTTAGCTCACTGCAACCTCTGCCTCCTGGGTTCAAGTGATTTTCCTGCGTCAGCCTACCATGTAGCTGGACTACAGGCATGCACAATCACACCTTGTTAATTTTTGTATTTTTAGTAGAGACGGTGTGTCACCATGTTGGCTAGGGTAGTTTCGATCTCCTGACCCAAGTGATCCACCCACCTCAGCCTCCCAAAGTGCAGGGATTACATGTGTGAGCCACTGCATCCTGCTCCTTTGCATGAAATTAAAAAAAGTTTAAAAAGCAAACATAATAAAAAGCACCCAAAAAGAGCCCTCAGTAATTCGCAAAGGTGACAGTTTCAATGTACTACTGTTACATTGTAATGTAAGATTCTTTATGGTAATAGCCCTGAGTCATGAAGAACAGGATAAACATTTGTTAACATGCTTTGCTTCAGGACATAGGGAAGACCACGGCATAATTAAATATAGCATATTTTAGAAAAAGTTTCATTAAAAATAGCCGATATAAAAATCCTGAAGGGTATAGACTCTGCTTATTTAATATATACACTTTTGTAGCCTATGGCACTATTTTGACCATCAGATGAATATATACTACTATATCAGTATTGGCTGCCAATCTTCAGTAATACTAATTTCTTATTATATCGTTTTGCCCTCATATCAATGCTATGAGGTGTCCGTAGCTGATATTATCCCCAACTTAAAGATGAAAAAATTGAGATTATATAATTTACTTTTCTGTGGACTAAAACTCCACCCTTTTAAACATATTATACTTTTAAACCCAGTTAACTCTCTTCACATTATAGATTGTTGGATCTCAGGGATAAAAGTAAATATGAATTAAAACAAATATATCATCCCTACTTAGAAAAATAACTTGAGTATATGTTCTGCCAACAGAAATTAAAAGTTTGTTTATAACAGAGACTATATTATGAATATATGGGTATTTTACAGTAAAGATAACTCAAGAGATTGTCTAAAACTTTTAGATTCTTAAGAGTTTAGTACAAAGAAGAGTAAGAAGAATAAAATACTACTTATTCTCTATAAACACAATGTATCAAGTGACAACTAATCTGGCTCTCTTAGAGAGTGCTGCTGCCATAAAACATGCTTACCTGAACTGGATGAATAAGACCTTGATTTAGAGTCAATGCGATGACATTTAGGGCGAAGTGGCGCACACTTGACTGAGTGTGAAAAAATGCCTCAAGCACCTGTTTGAGGTAAAGCTGCATGATGGAACTACTCATCCCTGAGGAAACATCACCCATTTCTTTTAAGTCTTCCTGTTTTGCAACTTTTTTCCCTACAAAAGAAAGCAAAGGATAAACCTGTATTAAGAGCACATATACTAACTTTACCAAATTTTTCAAAATTAGGCCATAACCAAAATCACAAAACGCTATAGCTAGTGTTCTGGTTCAGTGTGTGTGTGTGTGTTCTGGTTCTGTGTGTGTGTGTGTGTATCAGAGGCCCCTCTGAAAACCCAATGAGAACTCCTCCCTCAAAATGTTTACACACATATAAAATTTTAAAACTATTTTAGAGAATTTAAGAATATGCTAAAGCCTAGCTATAGACCTCAGCACAAGGACTGCTATTTAACTGAATTTCTTCATCCAACAGATAAGGAACTTTAGATATTTAAAGATAAAGCCATATAGTATAACTGTAGCTGTGAAATTTAAAAATATATTTTCACTTACAGTCTCTATCTGCCTGCTGCATACGTGTATCTTCTTCTTGTAGGTAGGTCTGGAGATTTTTTAACACTTGAATTTTTAAATTGACTGAAGAATTCTTATCGGATAAAATATTATTATATAGATTCTTCACTTCTTGCTCGAACATTAGACTTGGATGCTGAATAAAGGCAAATCCTATGGGAGAGGGGAAAAATCTCATCATATATTCATATTAAAATTAAATAAACATTTAATAAATATGTTAATAAATTATATAAACAGCTCCTTATTTAAAAAAAAAATAAAACAACCGGAAGAATATGCTGGTGGCCTTACCTAGAGAAGTATTAGAGCAGGTACTTCTTTCCCCATGAATTAAAAACAAGAAATTGCATTTCAAAGGAGAATTTCACACAAGAGGAAACCTTGAGGAGGGAGCAGGGCCTAGTGGCTAGGGGAGTGGATTAGGAGTCAGGAGTCTTGGATTCTATTCCTGGCTCCACCACTGACTTGTAGTGTGACCTTGGGTGAGTCACATAATCTCTCTGTGCCTCAATTCTCCATCTGTAAAATGGGGATAATAATATTTACCACCCACCTACCTCAAAGGGAGGTTTTCAGGATTTAAGAAGTAATGTCTGCAAACATTTCAGATCCCCAGCAGAAGGTACTACATCGACATTATTTTTTTTTAAATTAAAATATATTCATTTAATGAAACAATAATAAACCAGAGTTAAAAATATCTTCCATTTCTTTCTCATATGGCATTATAATGAGGCCACAATGCTAAATCCTATAACCACGGATTAATAAGTAGCAATATAATATTGTTATCCATGCTTATTTGTATATAATATTTGAGAAAAAATGAAGATCTCTGATGATAGCAAGTATTATTGATAACAAACAACAAACTAAACTCAAAGCAAAGAGTGATCAGATAACTAGCCCAAGGTCACTCAGGATAACTATGGCCCAGGCAAGATGTCTTTTATTAACTGGTCTAGAGGCAATATTTTCTGGATAGTGCTTCTTTAAGTTAAAACTTCATCTTTTTTTACTCTGAAATAGTTGTAACACTATTAGTTTTACCACTCTGTATAAATTATGTCCCAGCTGAATATTTAAAGATACATATTGGCTTGAAGGTAATATTGCACTGATTTAACTCCTTAGTAAGTGATGTCTGACTTTTTACTCTATGTGCTATAAGCAATTTTCAAAAAGGGATGGAGGAGGAATAAAATAAGATTTCAATTTATTTCCAGGTATCATAAACATAATTTAGTAAGATTTAGGTAACTCAAAATCTTTTTGTACTCATTTTTGTTCAAAAGACTAATATAAATAACTACTCATGCATATTCAAGTATAAACCTTAAATGTAATACCAAAATACAATTTACAAATAAGTTATTAATCTTATTGGTATCTTATGTGTATAGTCGTCGCTTGGTATCCATGGGAGATTGGTTCCAGAACCTCCCAGGGATACCAAAATCCGTGAATTCCCAAGTCCCTGATATAAAATGGGGCAGTATTTGCATATAACCTATTCACATCCTCCTCTATACTTTAAATCATCTCTATTTATATCTAATACAATGTAAATGCTATATAATTGCTGTTGTTTAGAGAATAATGACAAGAAAAAAGTTTGTATATAAGTGTAGGTGCAATTTTTTTTCTCAGTATTTTTGATCCTTGGTAGATAAATCCACAGATATGAAACCTATGGATATGGAAGGCCAACTGTATTTGTACAAAACAAACAACAAAAGCCAAAAACCTGGACAGACTGTTCTTGTATTTTTTGAAATGCATTCAATTCAGGTACTTTAATGTCATTCTCCTCCTATTTCCTCATATTCTAAATTCCTTCCTAGAAATAAGCCACATAGACATGCCTAACAATTGCAAAACATGTTTTATTATATCAATGCTTCCTGAAAAAATAATATGGAACAGGTATATATCCAAAATTGCTCCTTCTGGGTTGCTTATTATTTGCTTTTATATAAATAAGTCAGTGTAGACTGATCATTGTTTTAACTAGATGTGGCAGCTTCCTGCAGTGATAAAGCTTTGCAATGAAAAAGAACAATCAAAAAAATACAAAGTGCACAGAATTCTTCTACGTTATTTTTCTTTATCAAAGGGCTTTAGAGAACGTTCTTAAGATACCCTATGGAGGAGGAGTAGAAGTAGTAGTGTTGTCTCCATTTTACTAATGAAGAAACTGATGAACAGACAAGTGGCTTGCTCAAGGTTACCCAGGAAGTCAATGGCCATGACAAGAATGGAACCCAGTTGTTTTAATCCCCAGACATACATTCTATACACCAAACCCTACTGCTAATAAAAACATATTTAAATAAATCAATTTAGATTCACAATATTTAAAAATGTGCTCTACCCCCTCAAATAGCTACAAATTATAAAGAAATTTAGACTTAACTTACCTAGACCAATGATAGCTTTTGTTTGTACTTCTTCATCTGAATGTTTTGTAAAATACATTAATAGTTCAAGTACTTTGTCTTTTATGTTAACCTAAGGGAAGGAAAACACATTAAAGTATTCATGAAGAATAATTCAGATTAATTTTCAACTATAAAGGAAAAAAAAATACCAAAAGACAATGAGAATTTCTTATGTGAACTTCATTAAAAAAATAAGTAACCAATTCCATTTATTTTAGAACAGTGGCATTCAAATTATCAGTCTGACAAAAAAGCTTGTTTCAGAATGTCAATCAGTGCATTGTTCTCTTCATTGAAAAAAAAATTTTTTAAGTCAGCTGTTGATGTCAACAGTGTGCCTACTGTTACAAAGCTGATATAACTTGTCAGGGAAATTTCATTATCGGGTTACATGCCAGTAACAGTTCATGTATTTGCAGCCAGTCTGAGGACCATGCTTTGAGTAGCACTGTTTTCAGAATTCTCATTAAACCAGACTACTCTAATATTGCCTTCATTCTGGGTCATTACTGTCATTCTCAGATCACAGTGCTATACAGTTCTATGTTTTATACCATTACTATCTTTACCTTGCTGTTGCCTTTAAAATCTTCCAGATCAAAATCAAAATGCCGACACAGTGCTCCAACCGTGAAAAGGGATCTAAGAAGTGCTGGTTTGTTTGTTAGAAGTGAAGTGTTATTTGGGTCCTCTTGGTGCTGACTTTTTAATTTTGAAATGGCACCTAATAAAGATAAGTAATATTTATTTATAATAAACCCTTTATCTTTGATTTACTATGTTCAAATAATTACTACTCATGAATTACAATTTTTTTTTTGAGATGGAGTCTCACTGTGTTGCCCAGTTGTGCAGTGATGTAATCTTGGCTCACTGCAACCTTTGCCTCGCAGCTTCAAGCAATTCTCCTGCCTGAGCCACCCAAGTAGCTGGGATTACAGTTGTGCGCCACCATGCCTGGCAAATTTTTCTATTTTTAGTAGAGAGATGGAGTTTCACCATGTTGGCCAGGCTGGTCTCTAACTTCTGACCACAGGTGATCCACCCAGCTTGCCCTCCCAAAGTGCTGGGATTACAGGTGTGAGCCACTGGGCCTGGCCAATTAATTTTTACTAATGGTTCTAAATATTAAATATGTCTAGAATTACAAGGGCACTCTTTAGAGTCTAAAATAATTAATGTACGCTAATTTAAATTTTACTTCTCACCTACTATGCAAAAAATTTGCCAACCTTTACTTATCAGGAGATAAATTTCTGAAGCAATCACAGTGGGTTCTTACGGGAATACAAAAGACATTAGAAAATATTATTTCTGAGAGAGGACCATGGTGGATAATCACACCTCATAATTTCCTTGATTCTAGCTTTTTATCAATGTGTTTAAAATGAGCTGGACACACTGCAGGAACCAGCGGAATAATTTTTAAAACCCTGGTATTGAACTTACCATAGTATCTATTGAAACAAGCCCACACAAATTTAAAATTTTGTGTCACTTTATTTACAACAGCCCCAAGACAGCTCACACAATGTTGCACTACCTAAAACATAGAAAATGTTTGTTTAGATAAAAATTAAAGATAAAAATACACTATTTAAAAAACAGCCTTTTATAACTATTTGCTTTAAAAATGGTAATAAAATACATTAAAATTTTATACTAATGAATAAAGAAATGGTAAACTGAGTGCTTACAGTCATGCCATATTTGATGATGAGCTTCATTAGATCTTCTTCAATCGTGGCAAGGAAAGTTTCACTTGGATGCTCCATCAGTGGTACAACTAGCTCTAGAATTTTTGCAACATTGCAGATAACCATGAAATCATTTTGAGTCTATAAGAATAAAATTAATGCTTTATGAACATCCAAAACCACTGCAGATAACCATGAAATCATTTTGTGTCTACAAGAATAAAATCAATGCTTTATGAATATCCAAAACCTGAAAAGAAACTATATACAGCTTTACATTATTTGGGAGGCAGAAATAGGTCATTCTGCATGTCAAGGTTGAGTTAAAAACACAAGTATATTAGAAAGAACTTTTTTTTCCCCCAGGGTATGGAAGGAGAAATATCAGCATGTCAGAAATATGGACTGACAACTAACTTACCAAAATGTGACTTTGGGGTCACTTAATCACAATGTTAAAGTTATATTTTTTCCCTTTGTATAATGCTATCAATATGTAAATACCTTTGTTTAGAAGTTATATTTTTTTGTATTTGTATAATGCTGTCAATATGTAAATACCTTTGTTTAGACAGCATTATACAAAGACTGGCACAGTTTTTAAGATTATTTTCCAAGTTGTGTATGTTAACCCAGCAGTTCTCAACCAGGAGTAAGCTTCTTCCCCTGTACCCTGACACAGGGGTATTTGGCAGTGTCTGGAGACATTTTTGGTTGTCACAATGGGAGTCACTACTGGCATCTAATGGCTAGAGACCAGAGATGCTGCTAAACATCCTGAATGCACAGAACAGTCCTTGACAACAAAGAATAATCTCGTCCTGTCAATAGTGCTGAGGTTGAGAAACCCTGTGTTAAAATTTTCTGATAGATAAAAATGTAGAATCTCAGAACTAGAAAAAAGGCTTCTCTATTTTTAAGAAACAAGAGTCTTGCTCAATTGTCCAGGTTGGAGTGCAGTGGCATAATCATAGCTCAGTGCAATCCTGAACTCGAGTGATTTTCCTTACAGTCTCTCGAGTAGCTAGGACTACAGGCACATAACACCACACCCGGCTAATTTTTTAATTTTAATTTTTGTGAAGACAAGGTCTTATTATGTTGCCCAGGCTGGTTTTGAATTCTTGGCCTCAAGTGATCCTCCCACCTTGGACAACCAAAGCACTGGGATTATAGGTGTGAGTCACCATGCTCAGACTAGGACTTAATTATTTTAAATTTAAATGTGTATTTCTTTAATTAAGAAAACTAAGCATGTATAAAAAAATAGGTAGAGACTTTAAAAACAAAAGAAGCACAAAAGGATTTATAATAATCTTGTTCCTACCAATCCTCCAGCCACATAGCTCATTTCCCCAAAGGCGACCAAAGTTGTGTGTGTGTGTGTGTGTGTGTGTGTGTGTGTGTGTGTGTGTAGCAAGGTTTTCAATGCATGTTTTTTTTCCTTGAGATGCAGATTTGTTCTTGTCGCCCAGGCTGGAGTGCAATGCTGTGATCTCAGCTCACTGCAACCTCCGCCTCTGGGGTTCAAGTGATTCTCCTGTTTCAGCCTCCTGAGTAGCTGGGATTACAGGCACATGCCACTGTGCCTGGTTTTTTCTTTTGTATTTTTAGTAGAGATGGGATTTTATCATACTGGTCAGGTTGGTCTCGAACTCCTGACCTCAGGTGATTCACCCACCTTGGCCTCCCAAAATGCTGGGATTACAGGCATAAACCACTGTGCCCAGCCTCAATGCATGTTTTTAAGCTACTACTCCTCACTGTTAGTAATGGACTCAGTTTGGACTTTTTAAGTTCATTATGTCACTAGTTAAAATACATTCCCACCACTTGGCTTGTAGGAGTATTAATAAAAAAAAATTTCAACCTCATATTCATCCTTCCTTTTAGAATCTCTACAGGATTAAAAAGGTAAGTTCAATTCTTTTTAGGTAGCATAGAAATCCTGTTGTTTCCTGTAATAAGTAAAAGTAGGTCTAGGGATAGCAGAATTTTTGTTGGGTAAGATAAATTCATTTGAGAACCAGTGCCAGCATTTTACTTAAAAAAAAAAAAATGCAGTGGCTAGGCACAGTGGCTCATGCCTGTAATCCCAACACTTTGGGAGGCTGAAGTCAGCAGATCACAAGGTCAGGAGTTTGAGACCAGTCTGGCCAACATGGTGACATAGTAAAACCTGTCTCTACTAAAAATACAAAAAATTAGCCGAGTGTCGTGGTGTGTGCCTGTAATCCTAGCTACTCAGGAGGTTGAGGCAGGAGAGTCACGTGAACCCAGGAGGCGGAGGCTGCAGCGAGCCAAGATCCCGCCATTGCGCTCCAGCCCAAAAGACAGTGCAAGACTCTGTCTCAAAAAAGAAAAAAAAAAAGGTAGCATTTTCTGAACATTCTTTTAACATACTGGCCTGGAAAATCAAGTAGAATATCTTAATTTCTAGAAGAAAAATTTAAAGAAAGATGGAGACCATAAAGTAAAAGAGCAACAGAACAGGAAAAAATATTTGCAATGAAAATACTATAAGATGGCTTAATACTTAAAATATTTAAATTATTTAAAGAGCTCTCCTAAAAAAAGGCCTACGATTCAAAGGTAAAATGGGCAAATGATACAAAAATGATATGAACAGTGAATTCACAGTAAAGCAAGCCCAACTGGTCAGTACCATGAAAAGATGCTCAACCTTCTTGGCAGTCAGGGAGGGAAACTGAAGCAATGATGAATTATTCCTTTCCACCTGTTAGACTGGCAAATAGTACTAAAATAATGACAATGATCGTCACATATAGCTTTCCAAAAGGCTGTATAAAACACATCCACCACATGGCAAGATCAACTAAAAATCAAAACCACAATAACCATTGTTTCAACCTTGCAAGTCCACTCCTCAGAATCTGTTCCAAAATAAAGGCACCATTACTTAAAGTATTTAAATAGGAATGTTTATTTAAACATTGTTTTTGTTTTGAGATGGAGTCTCGCTCTGACGACAGGCTGGAGTGCAGTGATGTGATCTTGGCTCACTGCAACCTCCGCCTCCTGGGTTCAAATAATTCTCCTGCCTCAGCCTCCCGAGTAGCTGGGACTACAGGTGTGTGCCACCACACCCAGCTAATTTTTATATTTTTAGTAGAGACGGGGTTTCACCATGTTGGTCAGGAAGGTCTCAATCTCTTGACCTTTTGATCCACCTGCCTTGGCCTCCAAAAGTGTTGGGGTTACAGGCATGAGCGCCTGGCCTGTTAATTTAGAAACTATTTGTAGTGGTGACCAAAAGGAAATATGTAAACACCTGCCAAATAGGGAAATGTTCAAATAAATTATAGGACATCCATAAAATGGATAATATGTAGCCATCTAAATCAAGGAATTAGTTATATACCAGGTAATGTGAGATTAACAAATATGCCTAACAAATACCTATATAATATGATTTAATATTTACAAAACCTGGTCAACCATTTATATATGCCAGTGTATCCACACTATAAAAGTATGTTAAGGACACTCTAGGATGCTTATTCTGAAAGAGATGGGGATAGAATATAAAAACAAAACCCACAAAATATTAAAAAAATTTATCATGTATAAAATACTCTTATTAATAGAAAACTTTAGGTTTGTCTACATACATACACAAAAAATGTACCAAACATTTTAAAGAGTCAATTTCTTTTAAAAAATTACTGGTTCAAAATCATGCAAGGACTATTTATAATATAAATAATTTATAATAGGTTTCATTATAGTCCAGACTCTCCTGGCAGGCATGGGGCTGAATTCTAGCTATGGGACTGGTTAGCTATGTGACATTGGGCCAGTTATTTATATTCTTTAAGCTTTAGTTTCCTTATCTGATATTAGGAAACTATCTTTATCCGAAATAAAACTGAGATAATAATAGTACTTACTTCACAAAGTAAATGAGCTAATACATGGAAAATTTTCACAGTGCTTGGTACTGTGTTAAAAAATTATTAGTTACTGTTATTAGCCACAATATTAACCAATTTATTTCTGGAATTAATACAAATGCTAAAGATAGAATTGGTGTCTCAAAAGTAAATGCACGGTGTTTGTAGGAACAAAAACATTTATTATCCTTTACTACTTTCCTCAGTTCTTAAAGTTTTCTCAGGAAGTCCTGAGGTTTTTGCTGAGAGCTTGTAATCTGGATCACCAAAAAACTGACCATAGCAGCAAAACAAATGTAATAGAGAAAACAGTTAAAATGAGCTCCTTAGGAACATTAGGTACATGGTATGTCAGAAACCTTTTATATTTATTAGGTTTTTAGAGTATTTAAAAATTTTACATTTGTAACAATTATTTATATTCTTTAAGCTTCAGTTTCCTTATCTGTAAAACAGAGATACTTCATAAAGTAAATGAGATTATACATGTAAACCATTTAACTCACTATGCCGTCATATATACTTTAAAGATTTATTTGCTGGATAATTTTACTTGAGCAGTGTCTTACTTTTCATACCTTATTTTATAGAGTATGTTAATATTAACTTAACAGTCTAACATCTCTGGTATGATATTAGATTTTCCGTATTTAATATACTGCTCAATTATAAAAATTAAAAAATATATTTATAATAAAATATAAATAAAAAATTTAAAAAGACTGTATAAAAAATATAAAGCATATAGACAATATCCTTAGGTGCCATAAATGGACCTCTGTTAGAGGCTGTTGGCTCTCAATTTTGGAGAACGACTAAGGTTGACTGTTGTTCCTCATTAATGTGCATTAGATGGGAAGTAATGCTAGTCTTTTTTTTTTTTTTTGAGTTGGAGTTTTGCTCTTGTTACCCAGGCTGGAGTGCAATGGCACAATCTTGGCTCACTGCAACCTCTGCCTCCTGGGTTCAAGCGATTCTCCTGCCTCAGCCTCCTGAGTGCTGGGATTACAGGCACACGCCACTACGCCTGGCTAATTTTGTATTTTTAATAGAGACGGGGTTTCTCCATATTGGTCAGGCTGGTCTTGAACTCTCGACCTCAGGTGATCCATCCGCCTCAGCCTCCCAAAGTGCTGAGATTACAGGCATGAGCCACCATGGCCAGCAGTAATCCTAGTCTTTGTGTGCTTCAAGCAATAGGTATCAATTTATATATTTTTTATTATATTATAAATGACAGACAAATGAAAAGTAAATTCAGGATCCAAAAGATAGTAAATTTCTCAAAGACAGGAACTCTGCTTCATTCCCTTGGAGATCTTAACAATAGCTATAACATTTGGTAAGTATTTACTGAGGATTTGGCTTGAGGAGCTTACAGCAAAATGGAACCTCAACCTTATTTATAGTATATCACACGTGATGTTTATAGATCACTTGCTACAAACCGAACATATATCTAAGTAAATGACACAGTTGATCTGTCAGTGAGAATGTGGTTGATGCATGTGAATTCTAAATTTAAAGCACTTAATGTCTTCTATGAGATACAAAAATAAGATAGCTCTATACTTACACTACATTTAGTGGTAAGGTATGGTTGCATAGTCATTGCATGTTTAACCATGAGCTGGGGTCTTATTTTGCTGAATAAGAACAAAGTGGTTATGCAAGCTACCAATCTTCCAGAATTCACACCTTTATTGTCAGAGTCTGGAAAAACAAACAGAGAAATAAGACACTAAAATGTGACAAGGAAGTGGAAATTATACAGAATATTATTTAAATTAATTAATATTATCCCCTAAATAGGTCCAGTATAGGCAGACCCTCAATATAATGAATTAGTAGTTCTTATGATACTAGATTTTCTCCATCTAATTTTTTCTTTGGTATAGAAATCACACACAAGATAAAAAACAAGAGGCCATGCTATCTATGGAAGGCAAATTTTACACTAATGGAAATTGGGAAGTTAAGGGATGGGCTTTTGGGTATAAATGTGGTATTGGTTAATACCTAAAATTAATTGGCTAGGTGTAATGGCTCACACCTGTAATCTCAGCACTTTGGAAGGCCATACAGGAAGAAGGCTTGAGTCTATGAATTTGAAATCAGCCTGGGCAACATGGCAAAACCCCATCTCTACAGAAAAATAAAAAATTAGCCTGGTGTGGTGATGTGCACTTATAGTCCCAGTTACTTGGGAGGCCGAGGTGGGAGGACTGCTTGAGCCCAGGAATTCTAGGTTGCAGTGAGCTATGACTGCACCACTACACCCCAGCCTGGATGACAGAGTGAGACCCTGTCTTTCAAAAAAAAAAAAAAAAAAAAAAGGAAGTGAATACAGGAAAGAAACTTACTGGAGGTGAAACTGTGTTTAAGGGTACTAGGAAAAAAGAGATATTGCTGTGGTAGAAGAATGTTAAAAAATGGGACCAACAAACCGAAATTGGAATAGTGCTATCAGACAGCTCTAAATAAAGTGTTGTTCAGGTGGGAAGAAAATGTTAATTAGGAAATACACTAGTTCTTAGGAAACTAATTTTTAGAGGGAATTAGCAACTTTTTAACATTAAGGGACATCAGTATCACCCCTAAATTCCAGAATGCGGAAAAACAACAGCAAAAAAACCAAACAAACAAAAAAAAAACAACAAAAAACGGAACAAGGAGATAAAAAGAAAAAAGGCTGGGCGTGGTGGCTCACGCCTATAATCCCAGCACTTTGGGAGGCTGAGGAGGGCAGATCATGAGGTCAGGAGATCGAGACCATCTGGCTAACTCAGTGAAACCCCATCTCTACTAAAAATACAAAAAATTAGTTGGGCATGGTGACACGTGCCTGTAATCCCAGCTACTCAGGTGGCTGAGGCAGGAGAATCCCTTGAATCTGGGAGGCGGAGGTTGCAGTGAGCCGAGATCACACCACTGCACTCTAGCCTGGGCAAAAGAGCGAGACTCTGTCTCAAAAAAAAAAAAAAAAAAAAAAAAGAAAAAAAATGGTATTTATGGGGAAAAAAAAGACTGCATAAAAAATATAAAGTACATCAACAACTTCCGTAGGTGCCATAAATGGACCTCTGTTAGAGGCTACTGGCTCCCAGTTTTGGAGAATGACTGAGGCTGATTGTTGTTCCTCATGAATGTGCATTAGATGGTAAGTAATGCTAGTTTTTGTGTGCTTAAAGCAATGGGTATCAATTTTTATATTTCTTATATAATCGTTTATTTATAATTGATTAAAATTTTCAGGTTTGTGATTGGCAAATAATGTGAGAGATAATATAAAACGTAAGTACTTAAATAATTTGTGATTTATAAATTTTAATAAATTTCTAGCTCAAAATTAAGCAAACTTTTATGTAACAATTATAAATAATAAATATTAGGAATGTAATACAAACCTTTAAAAACATTTTTATAATAGCTAAAACAATTTCATTTTGAGAGACCATTTTATATGACTTAGAAGGTAACAATTTTATGATGAGCATCATTAGCTAGATACCTATTAGCCTCTGAACTTTTATTCTTATTCAATGACATCTAAAATAGTAATATGCTATTGAAAGATATGTAAAAGAGATGAGGCACATGCTTTTATTACAATGCTCTAGACAATCTTAACAATATAATCTAGGATGCAACATCAAACAGATATCTATATAACAAAAAATGTATTTCATTTCAAAGTGAAGTAATCATTAGATAAGCAGAGCCAGAGGCAAAAATGAGAAATGTGCTCAAAGTATTTAATAATATCTTATAAAATCAACTAAAGACCAATATATATATATATGAAAATGTCTTACCAGCTAGAGATTCCTCATATTTAAGAATGTGCTCAACTAGGTTATCAACAAGTTGAGTACAAGCTTTCTTCACAGGTTTATATGAGGAATCCTCTTCAGACTTCAACAACTATATATGTATATATACAAAAAAAGATCCGGGTATAAATATTCATTAGGCAATAATAATAATATCAACACATTAAACATGTCCATAAGTAATATACTTTTCAAGTTGTCCTTAACAATTTAATACTCAAAGTGCAAATAAAGCAAAAATATATATGTTTAAAAATATCTTATAAACCAGTAATTTACCAATACTTCCAAACAATTTTACTATGAAGTACTTAAACTGCTGTGTAAGACCTAAGGTAAGATGTGAAAGATGCAAAAAAGGTGACCTTCCCTTTCTCCCTATTCACATAATACAAGTTGAATTACTTTAAGGAATTAATAACTGTAACTGCATCTGAATTGCACCTTAAAAGACAATTATAAAACATAAGGGTAGATTTCTTTACTGCATTATCCTTTGCAAAATCACAAACAATGCTAGGAAAGTGTTACGAATAATGAGATGAGGATAGAGAGCATTCTAAATACAGCTAGAAAGTAAAACCAATCTAATCTTTCATAATCAAAGGTCAACAGAAAAGTCATAAGGTATATCTGTTTTGCTAAGAAAAACTAGCTAATATAATTCTGGGGATACTGAAGGAATCTAAAGGTGTATTTGATTTCTATGAAGAGTTCCACTGCTATTAAATATTACTTTCTCTGCAATAATGAAAATATTCTATATCCTTGCTATCCAATATGGTTCCCAAGAGTCACATGCAGCTATTAAGCACTTGGCATTGTACCTACTGTGACTGAGGAATTAAAATTAAATAAAATAATAACTGAAATTAACATTGAAAAAAATGCACGTGGCTTATATTGGGCAGCACAAGTTTAAACTTTCCCTGAAAGGTACATAAATGATTAAAACAACTGACAGCAACCAGAAAAACAAAATACACACACTGCCCCTTTTCCTCCAATTTAAAGAAATAAGTAAAGCAGACAGCTCCAATGTACTAGGTTTCAACTCTGAACCACAAATTCTTCCTGCCTCACTCTATAATTTCCTTAATGCAGCGATTGATATCATATTCTAATTTGATCTTTTCTGAGACAGGGTCTCAGTCTTACCCGTGCTGGAGTGCAGTGGCAGAATCAAAGCTCACTGCAGCCTTGACCTCCCCAGCTCAGCCTCCCACACAGCTGGGAACCACAGGCATGCACCATCATGCTTGGCTTACTTTTGTATAGTTTGTAGAGATGGGGTTCTCCATGTTGCCCAGGCTAGTCTTGAACTCTTGGGCTCAAGCGATCCACCTGCCTCAGTCTCCCAAAGTGCTGGGATTACAGGCATGAGCTACCACGCCCCGTCTAGCTTAGCCTTCTTTTAGGCAGAAGTAGAAAACTATCCTCTCTCATCCTAGGTTATTCTTTTTCATTTCCAAGGCTTCAGGTACACACAAAATAATTAATTCATGACACACCGTTGCCACTCACATATGCCCTTTTAATTTGCTAATAAATAATGGCATATTATGAACCCAAATCAAGAAGACTATTTTTAGTATCTTATATCTCCCAATGTGCTCCTTCCCTTATTCTATCTTCCTGTTTCACACTTAAGGTAACCACTATCAGAATTTACCATCTCCTTGCTTAAAAAAAAGTCTAAGCTGTATGCAATCTATAGCTTTCTTTGATTTTCTACTTTCTAAAAGGCAGTATACTTGATGTAGTCTTCTGAGACTTACTTTTTTCACTCAGCATTATGCCACTATGACATAAGTTGTTGCATATAGCTGTATTTTACTGATTTTCATTGCTGTACAATAGCCCACCACGTGCCTATACCTTAATTCATTTATCTGCTCTTTTGTAGATAGGTTAATCCCAATGTTAGTACAATGAGCATTTTTGTATATGCCTCCTGATGCAAATATGCAAGATTCTTTTGTGTATATATATTTGAAGTTGAACTGCTGGGTCACTGGATATATGCATGTTCAACTTCACAAGATAATGCTTTTGAGAGATAATTTTATGAAATCATTGTTTTTCAAAGTGGCTGTAATATTGTCTCAATTATTATATGTATTAAGAGATGCTATCTGATCTCTCTTTTCCATCACTTGTGACTGACTTCTCCATTTTTTTCAATAAAATGGTATAAAATGTGGTCTTGATTTGTATTTCTTACTTTACTAGTGGGGTTGAGCACAGTATAGGCCCTATATGCTATTTTTCTCCATGAAACACCTATTAATAAACTTTACCTATTTTTCTACTGGAACTTTTTGACTTACACTGGTTTTGTAGGATAGGAGTTCTTATGTATGTATTTATTTATTTATTTATAATTTATTTATTCTCAGTATTAATTGTTTGTTGGTTATATATGTGCCAAGTATCTTCTCCATTTTATGACTTGTGTTTTTACTTTCTTCAGTCTTTTAAGGGTAATGGTTTTGGTGACTTGTTTAAGACATCCTTTCCTACCCAAAGATCAAAAAGATATTCAGCCTGGACATGGTGGTGCATGCTTGTAGTCTCAGCTACTGAAGTGGCTGAGGCAGGAGGATCACTTGAGCCTAGGAGTTTGAGTCCAGCCTGGGCAACACAGCAAGACCGCGCGATTAAAATAGTCATACATATTTTAATATATATATAATAATTATACATATTAAATATTATAATGATATAGTATATATTTATATATAAAATATAAAATATATATACGTGTGTGTGTGTGTGTATAAATACATTTTTTTCTCCTATATTTTCTTCTAAAAGTTTTAAAGTGGCTGGGCATGGTAGGTCACACCTGTTAATCCCAGTACTTTGAGAAGCTGAGGCGGAAAATAATGAGGTCAGGAGATTGAGACAATCATGGCTAACACAGTGAAACCCTGTCTCTACCAAAAATACAAAAAATTAGCCAGGCATGGCGGCACGTACTTGTAGTCCCAGCCACTGCACTCCAGCCTGGCAACAAAGCAAGACTCCATCTAAAAAAAAAAAAGTTTTAAAGTTTTGCTTTAATCTATATGGAGTTGATTTCTGAGTTGAAGTAGGAATCTTTTTTTTTTTTTTAGACAGTCAACTATGTCCCAACCCCATTTACTAAACGGTCTATCTTTTCTCCATAATCTGCAGTGCCACTTCTGTTTAATAGCAAGCATATTCTACATGTGTAAGCCTGTTTTCTGGGCTCTCTATCCTGTTCCATTGTTCTTTTTAGTACTCGTCTACTTATGACTACTCTTAATTACTGTATCTTTAAAAATAAATCCCGATATTTTATAAGGCAAGTCAGTGCTCCAGCTTTTTCAGAAATTATTTAGATATTTTTACCTGTTCTCTGCTCTTCTATATACATTTTGCAATCACCTTGACATTTTAAATATTTTTTATCATAATTTTGAAGAGAGCTCAGTTTCCCATTTTGCATTATTTTCATTTTAGGTTTTGTAGTTTTATCTGTCAGATTAAGGAATTTGCATTTTATCCTTGTTTATTATAGGTAATCATTAAAGGGTACTGAATTTTAACAAAATTTTTTCTTGCCTGCTCTGAAATGATTTTCTTCTACTTTAATTATTAGCCACATACTCATGATATAAATAATTAATCAAGGTGCATACAATTTTTTTAAAAGTATAATTTAGTTTGCTAATTTAAAAAATACCTTTTTTAAAGGTACCAACACTCCCAGTGATATAGGCACATTTTTTATACCATCTTTATCTTTTATTATGAAAAACTTCAGGTATACAAGAAAATTTTATCATGACTCTCTAACCACCATCATCTAGATCCTACCAGTGAAAATATTTGTGTGTGTGTGTGTGAGAGAGGGTCTGACTTTGTTCTCCAGAAGAAAGTGCAGTGGCACAATCATAGTTCACTGTAGCCTAAAACTCCTGGGCTCAAGTGATCCTTCTGCCTCTGCCTCCCAAGGCACATCTCACAATGCCCAGATAATTTTATTTACTCATGTTTTTTAGAGATGAAGTCTCGATATGTTATCCGGGCTGGTCTAAAACTCCAGGCTTCAAATGATCCTCCTGCCTCAACCTCCTGAGAGGCTGAGATTGTGGGTGCAAGCTATTGAGCCTGGCTCCTTACCTTTAAGATTTTATTCTGCTGGGATGTGCTTGTGTGTGCACGCATGGGCACAAACACACACGTGTGTATAGATGTATGCATATGTATTTGTGTACACACACCTATATCCATTTTACTTTCAATGCCATTTCAAAGTAAACTGGAGACTTCGCTATATTCTCCATTTTTTCCTTGAGATAAAACTTACATGCAATGAAATGCACAAATGTTTAGCACACATTTGCTCAGTTTTGTCAAATGCATTCACTACTGTAACTCAAGTCCCTACACCATGATACAGAACAGTTGTTCTCAATCTTTAACTTATATCCCAATCATCTGCGGTTAAAATTTCTAATAAATCCCCAGGTAATTTTGGTAACTTTCAGAACCACTGATAGAGACCATTACTATCATCCCTGAAAGTTTTCTCATGTCCCTTCCCAGTCAATCCCCAGCCCACTGCAATCACTCTTCTGATTTTTGCCAGTATAGATTAGTTTTACCTCTCCTAAAATTTTGTAAAAATGGAATCATAATATATACTCTTCTGTGTAAGGCTTTACTCTGCATAATGTTTCATTATTCATCTATGTTGCTGTATGTATTGACAGTCTGTTCCTTTTTGATGTGGAGTACTATTAAATTGTATGGAATTGTCATAGTTTATTCATACATTCACTGGTTGATAGAGATAAAGTTTTATTGCAAACTCAGAAATATTTTACTTTGGATTACAAAGGACAGGAACAGATGAAATATGAGTTACCCTTGCCTGTATTTTCCTTACAAACTAAAAAAGAGTCAGTCTTAGATCATAAGTAATTAAAATGAATGGCATCGTAAAAATCTATTTAATTTCTGTGTACCCATCACAGGACTATGAATGTGTTTTTTGAAGAAGACTGTCATACAGGGCTGCTCAATTTATGGTAAATGAATTGGAGTACATTTCAGAAA